CCCAAAGATATATGAGCTCAGGAAAAAAATTTAAATAAAATAGAATTGAAGTAGACTATCCAGAGTATAAAAAAGAAAATTTAATAACTTACATTCAAGTTAAAAACAATCTGTGTCACCACTAGGCGTCCTACGCGTTTCATCCAATAGCAGGACTTCCTCAGGGACTTTTGTGGTGTATCAGCAGTAAACAAATGAACAAATACAATAAAAAACCCTTTCCCTCCCCAGTCCTTTATACACCCTCCAAAAGTTCATAATTGATGGAATTCATCGCCGGTGGGCTTCTCCTGTGCCTGCGATCTCCGTGATTATGCATGCTTGCTGTGATGCGTGCGTTCCAGGTGTGCGTTCCTTTACGAACTTCCGGAAGTTCGTGTGTTCCATCATGCGTTTCACCTTGAAGTCCGGAAATAAACATCTCTGTAGATGAGATGATGTAGATCTGCTAAACTCATATACATATGGGCTAGAATTGCCCAGACAATAACCGCAATCTGAACACATATATACTCTCCTACTTATAAATCTGCAGGCAAATATCAAACTAAAAATAAAGTTGGGAAATAGTGCAATTATATCTTAGTTCCACATTACTTTTGTAACACATATTAGGAATATGTACATTGAGGGAATACATGTCAATGAATATATTTATACCACATCTTATAAGCATATGTGCTAGGAGAATACATGCCAATTAATGCATGTTTATTGAAAAGTCACAATTATACTATTTAACAGGTGTTTTTCATCCACAAATCATAAAAATAAAAAATGTAAATATAAAAAGTTTGTCTATACAATTGGTTTCGAAATGTATTTTAATAACTCTAACAAAAATTATAAATTGGAAAGACATATACCAACAGATATGTATGCATTCAAAAATACCAATTACATTTTAACAGAAAAAGAGAGGTTTTCAGAAATTGATGTTGTGAAGTGCAAAAGAAAAGTTAGATACCCCAATATTACATTCTGTCCATTACTTTACTTAATATATGTGTGAAGGCGGCAATATATAAAACCCTTTTGAAAGGGAATAGGATTAATTTAATATAATTTAATTCATATTTATTCATTTATAGGAATCCCATTCAGAGTGGGATCTTAAAGAGACAGATACCTCCGATTTAAGTTGACAAACCTTTCTATAATACAAAGGTGTATTCTACTTCTATATACCTATAATTGGATGCGCAAATTTTCTAAAAAAAAGAGTGTTTAGTTTAACCACATCCATTCCACATGAAGGAAGGAAATTCTTTATATGGGCGGAGTAACTGGGTGGAGTGACTTGAGTAACTGTTGTGTGGTTGGAGTGGCTGGAGTGGCTGAAGTAACTGTGGAAAGGTTGGAATGTGGTTCACTCACTCTACAGCAAGGGCAGAGAAGAGCTTTCAAATCTTTCAAATACCTTGAACATTCCACCAACTGCCAACAGGAACTAATAGATTTCAAATAGGGCAGAGAATAGCGGTTAAAAACAAACTGCTCCAAATTGCTCACTGCACTGGCGGTTGCCATCTTCAAACGGTCATATTTTAAAAACTATAAATCCTACAGCGAAGAGCTTTATATTGTGAGAATCACAAGACCCAGACCTACATTTTAAAGCATAGTATGTCTCTAATATATTAAAAATGAAGGCACAGTCGCAGTTTAGATATTGCCCTTCACATTTGAGGTGGCTAGAGTGGAGTTTCAATGAATGTCAATGGACGGCGTGAGTTGCAAACAAATGGTCATATTATTAAAACTATCAGGACTCTTGCTTAGCCGTGGACATGTTTAGTGGCAGCAGGGATAGCTGAATGTAGGTGGGCTTGAAAATGATCGAGTGGTGGCAGTTTAGAAATCATTTCATGATTTTTCAGCTCCCACTCTAGCTTTTGTCAGCTCCCACTCTAGTTTTGAACATTTCGCCATTCATTCCTATGGGATCAATTTTGCCACAAAAACGACGATATTTTGTGAACCATTCAGCAAAACGTTCCACAAAGTAATAGCACACCAACTGGGAACAATCCGCATGTTTTGGCATATTACTGTCTATGTAGTGTAAAAACTGTGGGAGGAGTTAGGGTGGTACATTTGGATATAATAATAAGAATAATATATATGTGAGATAACATTAAGTGGTCTTGCTATGCAAGAACACTTAATAATAATAATAAATTTAAAAATAAAATTAAAATTAAAAATGCAATGTATTGTCATTTTTTTCCAATTACGTATTTTTTAGACAGATTTTTTATTTTATTTTTAAAATTATTTTTGTTATTATTATTATTATTTTTTATTTTTATTTATTTTTTTTATTTTTTTTAGAATGGTCTGCGCAAAATGAAGAAAATTAAAATATAAAGAATTTCCTTCCTTCATGTGGAATGGATGTGGTTAAACTATACCCTCTTGTTTTAGAAAATGAGCGCATCCAATTATAGGTATATAGAAGTATAATACACCCTTGTATTATAGAAGGATTTGTCAACTTAAATCGGAGGTATCTGTCTCTTTAAGATCCCACTCTGAATGGGATTCCTATAAATGAATAAATATGAACTAAATTATATTAAATTAATCCTATTCCCTTTCAAAAGGGTTTTATGTAATGCCGCCTTCGCGCATATATTAAGTAAAGTAATGGACAGAATGCAATATTGGGGTATCTAACTTTTCTTTTGCACTTCACAACATCGATTTCTGAAAACCTCTCTTTTTCTGTTAAAATGTAATTGGTATTTTTGAATGCACACACATCTGTTGGTATATGTGCTTCCAATTTATAATTCTTGTTAGAGTTATAAAAATACATTTCGAAACCAATTGTATAGACAAACTTTTTATATTTAAATTTTTTTGTTTTTATAATTTTGGATGAGAAACTCTAGTTAAATAGTATAATTGGGACTTTTCCATAAACATGCATTAATTGGCATGTATTCTCCTAGCACATATGCTTATAAGATGTGGTATAAATATATTCATTGACATGTATTCCCTCAATGTACATATTCCTAATATGTGTTACAAAAGTAATGTGGAACTAAGATATAATTGCACTATTTCCCATCTTTATTTTTAGTTTGATATTTGCCTGCATATTTATAAGTAGGAGAGTATATATGTGTTCAGATTGCCATTATTGTCTGGGTAATTCTAGCCCATATGTATATGAGTTTAGCAGATCTACTATCCAGAGTTTTTTAACCACTCTCCCTTCCCCTTCTTTTACACCCTTTCTATTCTCCATACACATCGAGATAAAGAACCTCATCTACAGATATGTTTATTTCTGGACTTCAAGGTGAAACGCATGATGGAACGCACAAACTTCCGGAAGTTCGTAAAGGAACGCACACATCACGGCAAGCATGCATAATCACGGAGATCGCCGGCACAGGAGAAGCTCACTGGCGAGGAATTCCATCAATTATGAACTTATGGGGGGTGTATAAAGGACTGGGGAGGGAAAGGGTTTTTTATTGTATTTGTTCAATTGGTTACTGCTGATACACCACAAAAGTCCCTGAGGAGGTCCTGCTATTGGATGAAGCGGGTAGGACGCCTAGTTGTGACACAGATTGTTTTTAACTTGAATGTAAGTTATTACATTTTCTTTTTTATACTCTGGATAGTCTACTTCAATTCTGTTTTATTTAAATTTTTTCCTGAGCTCATATATCTTTGGGAAATATGTGATGGAAGAACCAATCTGACCTCCAAGAAGGAATTCTTGTTCAAGGTCTTTTTACAACTGTGAGAGTGTCAGTGGCCATTTGTCATATAATTTGCAGTTCACGTATACACACAGTTATATGCAATGTGATTTTGTTTATCTCAATTTAGCAGATTATCCCCTTTTTTTTGTATGCAAACCCACAACTGCCCGTTCCGCAGAGACACTACCAAAAAATACACTATTAGAAGATGAGACACGCTCAGACACAAACGTGAACACTAGGTTGGGAACCAAATGGCCACGGGGAACTCTCTATACTGAGCTGCTACTTGCCTATTGTCTTGTTTACTGCTGTATGCAATGTATACTTTAATGTAAATTGTACTGGATATACGCTGAGCTGATGGTTGATAATATCACATGCGTTTTATTCCCCACCAGCCTTTTTCCTTTCTGTACCCCCAAAAAACAATAAAAACTGTCAAAAAAAAAAAAGAATGGGGGGCGTGGCTAACCGCCGAGCAAGATGGACGCCTGAAAATTTGCTCCGGTACGAGGGCTCCACAAACTACAACTGCACCCGAGCTGAAACCCTGATTGACTCCCCCAAAACATAATGGCAGCATCTAAAACGAAGAAAACCACTTCGAGAGCCGAAAAAATGAATTTCTTCGGACACAAACCCTCCTTCACGGCGGATCCGTTACAGGCAGCCGGACACGAGGAAAGAGATGATGTCGCCTCAAGCCTCCCCCCTGGGGTGCCGACGGAGCTCCACGCTGCGGAAAGCCTAACACGAAGCCACTTTTAACACGCCATGGAGGCAATGGCGGAAAAACTTATTCAGACCTGGCAACTGACCGCAGACCAAATTAAAAGAGAGGTGAGAGACCTCTCTGCCTGGACCTCGGCGGTGGAACAACGCCACCTAGAACTAGAGGCCACACAAACGCTAGCCTCAGAGCACCTCCAAGACCTCCAACGAAAGATGGCGCTCATGGAAGAACGCATGGCAGATCAAGAAGACAGGGCACGTAGGAACAACCTGCGGCTCCGCGGTGTTCCTGAAACAGTTCTCCCTGATGATCTACAGGCCTATGCAAGACGCCTTATGAGAGCATATGCCCCCGACATACCGGCAGACATGCTTTTAGTGGACCGGATCCACAGGGTAGCGAAACCAAAGACCCTGCCGGACTCAATACCACGTGATGTACTTCTAAGGGCCCATTATTTCCACATTAAAGAGCTGGTCCTCCGCGCCCACAGAAGCAAGGCGGACCCCCACGACGACTTCCCATCTGTGCGTATCATGCCGGACATCTCATCGGCCACTCTATGCCGCAGAAAGGACTTTCTCCGGATCACCACGGCACTACGCACCCACGGCATACGCTACCGATGGGGGTTCCCCACGAAGCTAATTATCACCGAGAATGGAAAAACAACCCTTATCCCAACCTCAGAGGACGGCCTAAAACTGCTTGACAAGTGGAATCTACTGGAAAACCCGTCTGAAGCCCAACGGCCCAACAAATGAACACTGGGTCGTCCAAAGCACATGGACTGTTAAGTCATCCTAGAAGCGGCAAGCAAGTCTGCGCAAGTATCACAAACTGTTTATTCCTCTACCTTTCTTTTATATTTGCCTTCAAGGCGCTATGTATATATTTGTATATATTGTTGATCTCCCTACCACCTTCGAAAGATGTCACACTGCATATATAGCATATACCGTAACCCAACACGCTGACCTGGAGAGACAGGCATGCTTAATGCCGGGAGCGTGAACAGTTTTCCCTATCTGTTTTTTCTTAACCTTTTAGGTGCCAACTAATTATATCTAATGCTTGTCCCTTACCTCCTATAAACGGGTGGCCCGCCTACATAGATGCGCATGCACCATAATCTGGGGGGTAACCTCGGCAATGCCTAACGCGCTCATAGCCCGGGGTGATATGAGTTGTCATGTACAGCCCGCCTGCCCATTACACTAGGAACAACCCTATACATAGGCGAGCATACCATAACCCACTCCCTAACCAGACTACAGCCATGAGACAGAATCTCCTGGGTTCATTTCTGCACTCACACGGGGGATGGTCATATGGGACAATTGGGGGCCCAAAATACTCAGACACCGAACCCGAATCAATTTACTTCCTGCCAGGCGCAATACCCAGCGCACTGCACTACGGCTAAGGAGACAGACGCACCTGACACAGGTACAGTCGGATCTGTAGCCATTATGCCACCCAAGCGCCCCTGCTGACAGTACCTAAGTGCCCTGAAAACCTCCCAAGTTAAAGGAGGAAAGCGGTGCATGACATGATCGTAAACTATATAAAACACGGATGTTACGCTGACCCGAGACAAGCTATGCGATTCCGAGCACCAGCTACCAAGAGCTGGTTCAGGAACCACTCACTGGCAATTTGGGCCCACCCCATCAACCGCTACACCCTACACGGCTAAACCTCCCAGCACAACTACATCGGGCAGACGCGCAGGGACTACTTGTTAGAATGGAGGGAAACACACCACAGCTTAAGGGATCTTGAGCCCCCACCCTGTTAGCCCCCACAGACGGGAACCGCCTGCCCCCGCTGATGCTCTGACCCGGCCACAAGACTACACACTGAGCGCACCACACGAGCATTACGCGAAGCAATCGCCTACGGCAGCAATGCACGAACGGGCGCACCCAGCCCCATGGGCATAGTGCGTCCCATTTATACACAGTGACAACAGGTGACACAGAACCCACCGCGCCAGGTAAATGAAAGTTACTTACTTGCCCTTCTGCACTAAATGTTATTTGTTATGTAAATGATGCTCTCAATTACATGTTGTTGTTTTTATGTTTCATGTTTAAATGTTCACCGACCTCGACTTTGAGGTTTCAGCTCTACCATCGGTATTTGAAAAGGAGCCCGATTAGCCACGTATTTGGAAGCTCCTGCTCCTCAACCCCACGGTACGGCTAGCGTACCAGACCGCTAGGTCTTTGTATAGTCTTCCCTCAATACTACGAGACCCCCCCCGCCACCTCAACGCCCCCACCCTGACCCTGCACACTGGCATAGGACATACACAAACGAACCACCCTTGAAAATGCAACACTTGATAGTTCCCACCCCCACAACACACAACAACAAACAGGATCATCTACTCACACAACACCAAAGGCCTCAACACGCCACATAAACGGCGCATGCTACTAGACGACGTAAAACGACTCAAAGCAGACATAATCTACGTACAAGAAACGCACTTTGTATCAGGCAGAGCTCCTAAGTTCGCCAGCAGAGACTACCCTACGCAATTCCACGCCACACACTCCTCCAAATCTAGGGGAGTATCCATCCTGTTCCATAACTCTCTGACGGTGGAAACGCTCAGAGTCAAGAAAGACAGCCAAGGGCGCTATATAATTCTACAATGTAGGATCAATGAACAACCGTACATTATCGTGTGCCTCTATAGTCCAAATGACCAACAACGCAATTTCCTACACAAGGTCCTCAACAAACTTTCTGAAGACGCAGATGACCCCAAGATAATCTGTGGCGATTTCAATCACACAATGGACACCCGCCTGGACTCAACTATACCAAGTACATCACCCAGACATCTTACGCTCAAACCGTCCACCAAGGCATTTACAAAACTCGTCCACGAAAACAGCCTCTACGACGTCTGGAGAACAAGACATCCCCTGGAAAGAGAATACACGTTCTTCTCGAATACTCACAAGACCTACTCAAGAATAGATCATATCCTCATCTCCGGAGTGCTACTCCTGCAAGTAGAGGCATGCTCCATAGGCAATATAGTATGGTCAGACCATGCCCCATTAATGATGACGCTACACTCCATATACCAACATCGAGGTAAACCGCCCTGGTGCCTCAATGACTCACTACTCTACGATCAATCCTTCGCAACGACATTGAACACTAACCTACAAAACTATTTCGAGACGAATGATAACTCAGAAGCCTCCATCTTCTCAATATGGCACGCCCACAAAACAGTTATGAGAGGCCTCCTAATCAGCCGCGCGTCATTTCTGAAACGCTCGCGGGACAAGGAATACATAGACCTCCTACGTAGATTGAGAGACACCACTACAGCTCACCTCCTCCACCCCTCACAGGCTTTCTCAATGGAAATACAAGACATCACCAATCAAGTCAATTCACTTGCTCTGGACAAAACAGCCCATGCCCTTACCAAACTAAAGTTGAGAACATATACACAAGGCAACAGAGCGGGGAAACATTTGGCCACCCTACTCAAAAAGCAGCAAGCCCAATCTAAAATCCCGCACTTAGTCACCACCTCGGGCGACAAAATATACAACCCGCA